AAAAAAGAAAATCCCGAAATCCTTCTTCCCTCTCATTCTTCTCCTTGCACATATAAAAAATCTAGCCTCGATTACCAATTGCCATTGGTTTACACTCCACGATGGTCTTGTCCTTGCACAACGGGCACTTGATCAATGGTACTTTCTTCCAGCAATTGCAAGACGAGGACGAGCTTGGAGAATCCATGGGGATGCCGGGCGTGCAAGTCGCACTACGCTACCTCCCGCCGCTAATTGGACCATACCGCACCAACGCTAACCTCACCACACGGCAACGCCTCTTGCCACTAATCTTGCCACCTAGATCACCACAACCGCTACCTCGCCGCCTCCCGCCGCTAACCTCACCATTGAAACCCTAGCCGATTTGGGGATATTTTGGGAAATTTGGGTTGGAATGCACTGGTCAAGGCAAGTTATGTGAGAAGATATATGCGGAGGGGGCTAAGCGCAAAATGGTTGGTGCGCCACGTTAGCGGTCAAACGCAGACAAATGACGATTGGACTAGGGTGCATTAAACCAAGTTCATAGACCTAAACATGTAATTTTCAAGTTAATGGATCCAAGTGACACCACCACACAAGTTTAGGGACCGGCCATGTATTTCACTCTTTATTAATTTTGCTTCTAATGCCGTATCAACGCCATGTGAGATGAGGACCAAGTCATACCAGCCACATGGGATGCCACGACCCAGGTGGCGGTCACAGTCTCCCCGGCTTCTTCCTTGTGCCACTCTTTTCACCTCTACATTTTCTTCTGCCGCCCGCCATCATCTGCCTTTTTGTCCCTCTCTCACCACAGCCGCTAGAGTTATGGCCTCGCCATGCCGTCCACTGCCCCCGCTGTTTTCACGAGTAGATGATTTCGCAGTGCCTCTTCGTCGTCGTCCTCGAGCTCCCTCTATGGCGTCGGCGCAACGGTGGGGGAGAGAACACAACCTTTATTGAGCTCGAGCTTCATGCATCCCTAGGTCCCGTCGGCCGCTGCCCCTCTACCACCACCCAGCTTCCACCGCCCACCACTTCCCTCATTGTCCCGTCGCATGCGAGCCAGGCTCAGCTGATGCAAAAAGGACCATTGGACCAGGCTGAGGGGAAACGCAGGAATCGACCGTAGCTCCTCAGCCAGGCCAGGCTCATGCATACGCGGGGACAAGCGGGTGCAGTCGCGGGATGAGGGGGTGCAGGCGATGGACAGGGGTCGAGCCATCCCATAATCCCCTCCCCTCATTTGTTTCCTCAACAATCGGTCGCCGTCTTCTCCATCAGTTTCCCTCCTCTTCAACAGCTTGAGCCTGGGCAGATCCAGGAGGAAGAAGAGGGCAAGAGGAAGGAGGGCTTAACGAGGATACCCGGATCTGATCACTTGGAGGGCAATGTCGCCACCGCCAGCATCATCTTCCTCCTCTTTTCCTCGCTCTTGGTGCTGTCTTCTTCGTTGGCTCCCAACTCCCTCCTTCAGGACCTGCGATTTGCCAGATCCGGTGGGCAGGGCGTCCGGAAGCAACAGATCCAGAGCCACAAACTCTGACGACAGCAACGGACGGAGCGCAAGGGGGAGGAGCGACGAGCGGCGGTCGTGGGCTCTCAGCGTCAGCGGTCTCTGTCGATCGGCGATGGGGACGAAGGCTTCGAGGGCTTTCTCTTTTTTTCCCTTACTAGAAAAAATCCCCGTGCGTTGCAACGGGTAAAAACATTTTTGGATCGTTGTATATTTTACTCTTTGGTTTTGGACCAAAAGTCCATTTCTTCCTTACTTTTTAGTCCCAGCCCAACCCGCTACCTCTCTTTGACCCAACCCACAAGTGGAGCTGTAAGTCCAGCTCCGTTTTCAACCTTCGGAAGACAATCTCGTTTTCGTACGATGCCAAAACCGATTCTCCCAATCAAATCAGGTTAAACCTTTCTCAATCTTCCAAGATTGGTTGGGGGTTTTTTTAATACACTTGATCTCCTCTGTCTGTTTGTATCAAAATTGGATCGAATCCACAAAACTCGAGATAAAACCGATGACTTTATATGGAGATTAAATTCAGTGAATTAAAGCAGAATTGAAAGGGAAAATCTTGAGAAAAATGACGAGGGAGTATGGGGGAATCAATTTTTGCAATCAATTGGAGGTGGGAATTCGATGCGGCGGTAGCGCAAGGGTTTGGTTGGGCGACGAAAAAAGCATGGCAGATAATTTTTTTACCGCGTGCGCAAAAGAATTCACTACGCCATCATCTGATGCTTGCACATGTACATGATGGGCAGAACACAAGAAGATTACTCATGTTTAAGCACATCTCACGCGGTAGAATCTACAGCACAAACGCACGCTTTCTCTGCAATCAAGTTTGGGTAGAGAAAAGCGGATGGAAAAAAGTCAAAATAAAAAGACGGACAAAAACAGCCAAAAAATAGAAAAGCGGATGAAAAAAAGTCAAAATAAAAAGACGGATAAAAAACAGCCAAAAAATAAAGGGACGAAAAAAAGGAAAAAAAAAAGAAGCGGACAGAAAGAAAGGAGAAAACGGACGAAAGAAAAAAGGAAAAAGGGACGGAAAAAAAGAAACAACGGTGAAAAAGAAAAAGACGGACGGAATTTTTTTTTTACGGAAGCTTTCCGTATTTTTTAATTAGGTATATATATATATATATATAGATATAGATTTTTTACTTTTTCTCGCCGATTAAGCCCGTGATTAGGAACATGTACTTGTTTTCTTTTTCTCGCCGATTAAGCCCATGATTAAGGAACGTGTACTGCTATTGCGTAATTTACCGTTTTGATCTATTATTTTGTGAAAATTAATAATACAATCATGTCATACTACAAATTATAATTTGAGTTCGTTAGGGTGCGTTCCTTCTTAGTGACATTGGGTGAGAAAACACCTCGTTTTTCGCATGCACACTTCCCAAACTACTAAACGGTGCGTTTTTTGCAAAAAATTTCTATAGGAAAGTTACTTTAAAAAATCATACTAATCAATTTTTGTAATTTAAAATAGTTAATATTCAATTAATCATGCGCTAATGGCCCACCTCGTTTTGCGTATCTTTCCAATCTTCTCAATCCCCTCCTCCTCAAACACACCCTAGTGAACTTCAAATTCATTAAATGATTAATTTTATTTGTTCTACCTAATTAAATTTGTTACTATATTTTGTTAAAGTTTAAAAGACTATAGATTAGATAATATTTATGTATGGTTGGGGTAATATCACCATCCAAATAAAGAGACAACTGAGTTCAAAGTACATGTATCCAACCAAACACAATCTTTTGCATACAAGTTTTTAGATCCAACCAACCAAACAATATCTCATACGAACCGGGGGCTCATCTAATGCATACAACCAAACAACTCCTATTGCAACATTCTAACCACGCTAAGAGGTTTTTCCCTGTGTACCATTAAAAAAGATGGTGCTTGCCTCTGTGCCACTAAAAAGTTCTCCCTCTATGCCATCGTCGAACTTTATCGCGCCCTTCACACCATTCCGTCCGTTTTTTGTTCTAACGGTGGTAACGGAGCAGCAAAATGACTTGGTTGCCTCTTGGGCATGAGAGGAAGGGTTCGAGATGGGAGGGCGTGTGGAGAAGGGAGATGTAGAGGAGGACGTTGAGGGAGTAGCCGTCGGCCCAGTGGCAGGCGTCCCCACCGCCGCTGCCGACGCCGGAGCGCCAGGCGAGGGCATGGACGGCGCTGGTGAGGGTGCGCATGGCGTTGGAGTTCTTAGCGGTGTCGATGGCGCGGATCTCGGTGGCGCGCATCACCTCGCGGAAGCGGAGCACGGCGGAGTTGAGGCGGTCGAGAGGGAGGGAAGGGTGGAGGATGAGGCCGGCCTCGAGGAGCTTCACCTGCCGGAACTGCCACTGGTGGTACTCCTCGCCGTCGGGGAACTCCACCGGCTTCAGCTGCCGGAGGAGCTCGTGCCGACCTGCCCGACGATAGCGCGCATCAGCGTCCGCCGCAGCCGCGCGTTGTTCTGCTCAGTGACGCGGATCTGCTGCCGCATGATCTCCGCCGATGTCATCAGCTGCCGTCCACGCCCGGGTAACGCCGGCCCCAATGTCTGGCTCAGCGTGCGCACCATCATCGGCTGCGTCGCCGCCACCGCTGACGATGACAACCGCCTCGCCTTGAGCCCCAGCGCATTCTTGATGCGGCTGCCGCCGCCGCCGCCCCTCGGCCTGGCCACCGGCAACGACACCTCCGCCGCCTCCATGGCCGCGCCACGGGCGCCGGCGGTGTTTCCGCCGGAGGAGGAGCGGCACGACATGAAGATCTCGTAGGCGGTCTTGCGGAGCTCGACGGGGCCCAGCGCATCGACGCGGCCGAACTGGCAGGCGACGTCAGCGGCGGCGAAGTCGAGCTTGGTGGCGTCTGACGAGGGCGTCGCCGAGGAGGTCACTGAGAGGGAGTGCGAACGCTTGTGGCGCCCCATCTCGCCGCCGTTCCAGGCGGCCATGGCGACGACGGAGCGAGCGCGCACGCAGCGGGCGATGTCGAGGAGGCGGGAGACGAGCGGCGATGACCCGTGCCCTCGGAGGCCGATCCCACTGCTGCTGCCGCGTTGGCCTCCTCGGCGGGGCGCTTCGGTGCCATGCGGCGCGGGGAGGGGAGGGGAGGGGGAGCATGTCGCCGCCGCCATCGAACCTGCACCAATCCGCCGCTTAGCGCCGGTCGCCGGCCTCGCCATGCCACCCCGCCCTTCCTAGTCGCTGGCCAGCGCCGCCCTCTCTCTGTGGTGAAAAGGAAGAAAAAAAAGGAGGGGAACGAAGCAGAGATTAAAAGGGTAAGAGGGACATTTTTCCTGCCCGGACACACATGTCAGAGCTGCCAAACGATTAAAACCAAACAGAATAGCAACGGAATGGTATGGAGGGCACGATAAAGTTCGACAATGACATAGAGGGAGGCTCGAATTTTTTTAGTGACACAGAGGCAGGCACCATCTTTTTTAATGGCCCACATCTAAAGACCTCCCATGCTAAACCCAGCCTGGACGAGGCATACGAGCCAGGCTGAGAGCATTCGAGCAACCAAACACACCCGTCCCTTCTTCTCCTTCCGCTCGTCTCGCTCGTAATCGGCACAGGCGACCTCGACACACCACTTCACCCTCGCTCGGTCGGAGCAATCTTGCCTGCGACGCCGCCGCCGCCCTCGATCTCGGATCGTCCGCTACGCCCCTGCCTCCAAACCTTGCCGCGGCGATCGGAGAGGGGAATACCCAAACCCTAACGTTTTCGGCCCCTCCCCGCCGTCAGAGCTGCGCCGTGCGGTTCTGCTTCTTTTCTGGGCCTCGTCACCTAGGGTTCCGAGATGGGCGATCATAAGGCCGTCTTCATCTCCCTTCAGGAGCTATTCCCTCAGGTACGCTCGGGTCTCTTTCCCATCTCGGATGAAGCTCTGATTATTGCCATTGGTTTGGTAAAGAACGATTTTTATTCTGTGATATGTAACCTAACGAAGAACTGCTTATGGGCGGATATGTGGGAAGATCTGATGGTGCTATGAGGTGCCCGTTGCGGTGAGGCGAGACTAGATTTTTTAGTACCATGAGGAAGATTTCGTGTTGCTTCTTGTGGGGGCTTGCGTGCCATGGGTTGTGTAATCTGCACTTTCAGTATTATACCTGCATTAGTTTTTTATTTTTATTTATTTCCTTCTCTTATCTGCAGGTTGATCCTCGCATACTGAAGGCTGTTGCCATTGAGCACCACAATGATGTTGATTCTGCTGTAGTCGCAATCCTTGATGAAGTCATGCCGTCTGTTACATCTACAAGTCCACCTACAGTTTCGTCTGTTCGTCAAGAAATTGCGCCATGCTGTATTGCAACTTCGTCAGCTTCTGATGGTACTTCTGAAACAGGGGATTCCTCTTCTGCTGGTAAGTATGTAATGCTGTATTTAGCGTGAAAGGTTTCCAATTGGGTAGGTTTGTTGAGATATATCTATCCTTACCGTAAAGTAGATCCAGTTGAAGATGTTAGCATGCATTTGATACTTCTATGTAGGATGATACCATTTCAGATCGTATGAATCTAATACAAGGATAGAAACCGAAACAAACCTATGAAGTTCTGTCACCGACATTTATTTTACTTGTTTAAAATAAAAAAAAACCTGGCGGGTTAAGTTGTTATCAATTAACCAAATGATGTAAGAGCATGCCCAACAGTCTCCTAATATTTAACTCCCAAAAATTCTAAATTGGGAATATGAAAACAAAAATTAGGCTCAACTACCACTCCCTCCTCCAAGAGAAACCCAAAAATTAAATCCCAATAGTCTGATGGTTTGCCACATAAGCAGTGTGGGACCACTTGATAGTTGATCGGCCTCTTCCCCCTCCGCTGTACGCACGCCTGATCCTCCTCTCCCTGCCCACAGGCGGCGTCGCCCCCACCGCAGGTCGCCATCGCCCCAGCCAACCAGTTGCCGGACTGCTGTGCTTGCCTTAATCTCTTGAAAAACGGAACACTGAGATATTGGAGTGTATTGGGTGCGTTCGTGGCAAGGAGGTAGTCCCCTAGCCAATCTCACTGATCTGTTGTGACATAGCCAAACAAGAGAACGCCGGCGATGGAATGGATCAAACAGGTGGCAGACGAGGGCGCAAAGAGGCGTGGGAACGTTTCGCTGCGCGCGCGAGGAGGCCGGTTTCGCTGTGGTTGGGGGTGAACAGACTCCCCTACAAATACAGAACAAGAAACCAGGGTTTGGGAATCATAAGTATTGGGCTTGAGGATAGGGTGACTGTTGGATTGGGTTTTTCAACAAAAATCCCCTATTTTCAGGATTGGGATTCATTTAGCAAGTCTATTGGGCATGCTCTAAGGCAGGTTAATCATTTGTTTCTGTTAATTTTTTTAAGTGACTCTCTATGGAGCTCAACTTAGTTTTATTTATAGCCATTTCTTTCTGTTGTACTGTCACTTCTTATGCTTCCCATTCTTTTTGGGCATTATTCTAATGAGTGGATTTTCACATCAGGGCATGGTAAGCAGGTTGAAGTTGATGAAAATGTCCACTCTACACAATGCAAATCTTCTATGGAGATCACAAATGATAGGCAAAGGAATGTGGTGGATGAAGTGGAATCACATTCATCATACCCATGGATGAATGAACAACTTCACCTGCCTATCCGCAATGTCCCAGAACCTGTTGATATTTCTTATGTTGGACATGACGGACATTTGTTAAGTGAATATCTAGATGCAATACTCAATGGAGAAAGTGGAAATTCTAGCACACAACCCAATGTTGCATATGTCCACAAGCAAGATTCTGACAACCCAATCCCAGCTGATGGTTGTGTTACAAAGGATAATTCAATCACTTTACCTCTTGATTATGTGGACATAAATGATGTGAATTATTCCTTGAAGTCTTCTGCTGGTGTTTCCAACAGTGAAGATTCATTTGGAACCTGTGGAACATATCAGTTTGCCCATGTGCTGAACATTCCGATTCCAGACGCTAGAAAATCCTCTAAGGGGCTTGGCGGAGAACAGGACACCAACAGCATCGGCAAAGCTGACTTGCTCCCTGATCTTAATTTGAATCACCTTGCTACCATTGCTTCAACTCATTCTGTTAGTATTGAATCCCTCGATGATTCCATTTCTGATGCCAAAAGCAATAAGGTACTCCAATTATTGACTTGCCAGAGACAATTGTTTTCTGTAACACTGCATATGCTCTTTGCTGTGCATTTACACTTATAGATATACACTTGCTCCTGTTGGTATGTGCTTTTCCATTTTGTCTTCTGACATTTCACGGTTTGGGTTAATTTTTGTTTCTATGTTAATCTCAAAGCTCGCTTACTGGGTAGGTGAAAAGAAAAGCTTTTTGGGTGGTTGTTCTGGTGTGTTGATGTTGTGTACTTTGAAAATCTGGATTGAATGGCATAACAAAATTGGGACTTCAGGGTGCTATGAGCTTTCTACGTTTCAGTAGTGGTTCATCTATAGGAATGAAGCGAAGAACTATTGACTAAAAATAAATTTACTTTTGTTGACTACTTTGATGGGTATAGGAGATGAGTAGTTATTTTATTGAATAATAAAGAGATGGAAGATTTGACATATTTAACCTTCATCCGAAAAGGAGTTCACTTTTGTACATGAATCTGGATAAGTGCATGTCCAGATTCGTGTTGGCAAAAAACAACTCCTTTTGGCATGGAGGTAATACCAAATAATCATATAGTTGTAGGAGAGTACGCTGATTGGATTTCAATTGGCTCATTGGCTATTAACTTTTAGCTGGCTTGTCATGTTGCTAATCAGGCAATCAGACCTGGCTAAACAGATTATGATAAGTCGTTCAGGGCTATGGGTAGTGTATTCTTTGCGTGCCATTCTCATGGCTAGCATCTATATTACAAGGATGACTGACAGTAAATTGACGAGTCACTCAGTGTTCTTGAAGTCGGCCTTAGGCACTGCTTAGGTGTCTATTAGGTGCTCGGTGCCATGTAGCCAGAGTGATAGGCATTAGATGGTGAATTAGGCACCTAATCTGCCTTGGGAGCCTGTTGCTTTTGAGTGTTCTATCTAGCTTTTATGTAATAGCACCAATTGTTCGGGATTTACTGTTCACTAGTCGAGTTGGTCGTAGGCACCCCTAGGTTCTGTTCGCCCTGCCAACTATTTAGCGTCTAGCACCTTAAAGCATGGATCGACTTTGAGTTCCTGGGTTAAATGCAAGCTGTACTATCACTAAAATTACTAGTACATATTTTAGGCTGTAACAGTTTCTCTTTTCATTCACAACACTAATGTAGTTACTGCCCTGTACATTGTATATTATAATGGTTGGTTTAGATTGTTGCTGAAGTGCTTGGACATTATGCAGAATGATCTGTTACCTTCTCTAGAGTTGGTCTCTAAGATGATACAGGATGTAGAAGTTCTGGAAGAAAAGGCTGAAGTGGCCAAGCATGAATCATCTATTGCTGGGACAAGCATTCTCACCAAAGTGGGGAAGCTGAAGGAAATGTTAAATCATGCGAAGGAAGCAAATGATATGGTTTGTTCTTTTATGACATCATATTTTACTGAAGAGGGAACTCCTAATTCCTTTTTACATAAAGCAATCTGTGTAATGAATTTTATGTGCAGCATGCTTGTGAGGTTTTTGGTGAGAAATCTATTTTAACCACAGAGGCACGGGAGCTCCAATCGCGACTTCAGAGGCTGTCAGATGAGAGGAAGAACTATCTAGTGGTAATTGAGGAGGTATGTTTTATGTTTCTTGTGCACCAATTCTTTTTTGACATTGCTTATCCTGCATGAAAGCCACAAAAGGCAATGTGCGCAAAATTTTAACATTAAATGTCACAAAACACTATGTTTGGAGTCATACGTAAATGTAACACAAAACAATCATGCTTTAAATTTTCTTTTCACATAGCATACGGTTAAAAGCCAGCACAGACCCCAGGTTTTCGCAATTGCAGCAACATGTGGTCGTGTGAAGTTGTATGTTAGCTGATCCTTGCAAAGGCAATGGTGATGTCACATTGTCTTTGGCTAGCCAGTTGCAGCAATTGGTCTCCAGCCTGCTCCTCAGCATACGGCATGATGCAGACTCAATGCTGCAGGTGCTAGTCATTCTCAATTTTGATTCACAGTTAGGGGGGAGTGGGGAACCCTGTGCCAATTGGTGGTTGAGGTCAAGTGCTGCTGTCTGGTGTATCATTTTTGCAGCGGTGTCATTGAGTGGAGATCAGGAAGAGAAAGTTGAGAGATGGTAGGGATTACGTAGAATGGAAGAAAGAGATAAGGTGGGATTGGATTAGGGAGAATGATGAATTTGGTAGCAGGATGTTTTCTTTAGTCTGTGATGCGATCTTGACCTGGCAAAAGGTGCCCACCTGATGTGGTGTCTCCTTTCCACCCCATGTGCCTACGTGTCAGTCTCGATTGCTAAAACATGATATTTTGTGTTATATATGGGGCTATGGGCATATGGCCTTCTACATGGTGTTAAGTGAAACAAACACTAAAACCTGGTGTTTAATGTGACACTCTAAATATGTTGTTTTGTGAAATGTGTACAAATTTGAAAGATAAAAATGAATGGATGTGCTATATTAGACTGGAATTTCCCTCGTGTGGCTAATTTGGTCTTTATGGTAGAGGGTGTGTATTTGTCCTATTTTGACTTTGCTTTCTACCAAAACACTGAATGATGGCTACAGTTGCAACTCTTCAAATGTTCTGTTCTTTAATCTGTTGCAGATTAAGAATAGTGAAAAAAACAAACAGTCGCTAATAGTTTGCCCTTTGCGGTGTGTAATACTATAATTACAAACTTTGTTCACTTCGTTATGCTGAATAAAAGATAAATTTAATTTTTAGTTTTATTAATCTATAGATACGCCAAACACTTGAGCACAGATTGGTTGCTGCACAACAAGAAATCGATGCGGCTGAGGAGAAGAAGATTCAAAAGGAAGCTTCTGCTCAGGCACTGCTTGATGAGCAGGAAAAGGAGATGAACTTAGCCGTTGAAGAATCAAGAAAGCTGCAGAAAGAAGCTGAGGAGAATTTAAAGGTATCAGTCTGCAGCCTTTAAACACTAGCGAACTTTAAGTACTACCATTGTCTGTACTATTTTCTTTCCTTTATGTAATCCATATTGTAAGGATCATTTCTTCTTGAAGTAGTTAGCTATGCACCGCTTATGTTTGAAGTACTGATGGTAGTGAACTATAACTTATGCCTAACAAGAAAAATATTCAAAACTAAGCTGAAGTTATTTCCAACTACTAATGTTAAATGTACTGTTTGATGGGCAGCTGAAGGCATTCTTGGTTGAGCGGGGTCAAATCGTTGATACATTGCAGTAAGTTCTGAAGTTCGAACTTCTCATCTCATAAGCGTCACTAAGCTATTTAATTCAGTTACAAATCATCCTAATGTGTACTGCTAGAGATGTTGGACTAGTTGATTTTTTTTATATATTTGGATGATGCTCACCAACAAATATCTTTCTCTTACACATTCAAATAATGTATTTCCTGTTTTATTAAACACAAGCGTTGTACTTATAAAATGCCACCTTGGTGTTCTTGTCATATTAGAAATTGATTTTGTCTCCACGTTCTAAAACAAGTGAACAGAAAAGTAACTCCTCTGCCAAACATGAGCAACTCGTATGTGATACTTTTAATTATTCCAGTGTATTCATATGTTACTCCCTCTGTTCTGTTATGTATGATGTTAGTTGTAGGATGGAGTAGTATTTTATCTGCAACAGTGTGCCATTTAACTAACCGTAATAAATGATTCATAGCACTTGTAGCAGACTTTGCTGTTTTATATAAACTAGCTAAATACCTGTTCTTTGCTACGGATAAAATGAATTCTACATGTGCTAACATTGTTCGGAACAATTTCATCCATGTCTGTATTTGCATGATAAACTTAAATTCTGAGACGAAAGAAGATATTGGTAATATGTAGGACTGTTTCATAATATTTTAGTACATAAAGGGTAGTTGGTAAAAAGAATACAACAAAGTTGGTGGTCACTGCCACCACCATTGCTCTCTTTTAAATGAGTATATAGAGTATAGATATATATTAAGTATTCTAATTTAATCCTTATCTGTATTTGCAGAGGTGAGATGACTGTGATCTGTGAGGATGTGTCCCAACTCAAACAAATAGTGGATGAGCGCTTATCGTTCTGCAAGTTACAGCGGTCAAAAATGTCGAGCCTCTCCTCTTCGCTGCAATCTTCGCTTCACAAGAGTGGGAGTTCTGCTGATAGGGCTATTGAAGCAGTTGAGTCTACAGATAAACATACAGTAGCCGAGGGTGCTAATGCAGCGGTTGGTGATGATCCAAATGGCAGCAAAAGAATCATCCATGTGTGGAATGGCAGTGGCATGGCTGACAAAGACAATGGCACAGGGGGGGATACCAACGAGGATGGCTGGGAATTTTGCTGACCTGAATGGCTTTAAAAGTGCAGGGTTGTGTAAGGATCGTTGATATGTAGCAAACCGGACGTCATAATTATGCATAAGCGGTCTATTTACCCTTGTTTTCTCATTTAGGAGACCAAATAAAAATTAATTGGTGAATTGACGACTAGAACACATAATCTCATGGTTCATAACAAACTCTCCTAACCAATTCACCTCATGACACTATGTGGTTTGAGATCATTATTTGCTTTCTCTATATATCTGTTCAAATTTGGTGAACACGAACCCGTTATGTTATTTTAGGAAATATACATTGTTACTATGGTTTGGTAGTAACATTATCGCAAAAGTGCAGTAACACGATACGTTACTGCGAAATTTGTAGGTCGTTACTACGAAATTTGTAGGTCATTACTGCACTTTTTGCAGTAACATCATGGTGAATTTGTAGTAACAGAGAATATATGGTAGTAACGGTACTACTATAGTATCACTGCTTGTGCATAGCTAAATTTTTAAATCTCAATCTTGTGCAAAATACAAGTGCTAAAAAAGTGCATGTGTATGGTCACAAATTAACACAAGTGCTAAAATTATTTCTCTTTGTCCATACAAAGATATATAGAAGCAAAGCTTATTACAAGTAAACTTTCAGAATTCTAATCCTTAAACAATAATATCTCTCACATTGCATATTATTTTTTAGAACCGTTTTCATCATAATGCTTTAAAACGATATTACAGCGAGAAAAATAGTCCTGGTACTACACGATGATCGAGACAAAAATGATTTTATAACGTTGTTACTGTGGAAAGTAGTCGTGTTACTGCACAATATTGATTATCGCGTTACTATGCCGTTCTAAAGTGATGAGAACTAAAAAAAAAAAGTAAATCTCAATCTTTAGAGAGCAATATCTCTCACATTATATAGTATTTTTCTAATTCGTCTGCACCATGATGTTCGTAAAAAAATGATTAACAAAACTAAATCTATCATGACTACTTTTTATGTTGTTAATACGAGAAAGTTGTCATGTTACCGCACGATGACCGTTATGTTACTGCGAAATTCTTGCGAGACGTGAACAGCAAAGTGGTGGGTGGGGGAGAGAGTCAATGGGCAGGTTTGACTCGGGTTTGACCGGCGGGAAGAGGCTTTGACTTGCCTTTGACTGAGGTGAGAGGGGGGATTTGAGCCTTAGAAAAGGTGGGGGAGGTAGGATTGGCCCAAGGGAGAGGGGGGTAGAATAGTTATTGGGGAGGGGTGTATATAATCATTTTCCTAGGACGGCCATTCTATACACCTAGATGTATGTACACCCTCTTCTTATTGGATACTAAATAATTGGATTAAAAAGAAAATTTAAAGGAAATACCGTTCCTTGCTTTTCAAATTACTGCATGCGTGCACGCACTCCGGCCGGTACAGGAATTTGGTGGCATCCAGTATATACTAAATTCCTCTCTATTAGCATTTAATTTCGTGGCATCCAGTATATACTAAATCCCTCGTTAGAGTACTGCTGATTTACTAGAACCTGCTAATAATTAACAATGCATATACTGGTTCATATTACTTCATTCGTCTAGCTTCTTTGCTCCATCCAGAATCACGTTCATCGCCAGCGGGTACAGCTACCGTTTGATCAAATTAATATACAATCGTTCGGCTGGTAATTTTTTTAAGGTAGTATATACTGTGTTTTAAGTAAGAAGCAGTATGCACGTACTGTTTTTTAAAGTTAATATAGCAGTACATACTGTTTTTAGTTTAATAGCAGTACATACCGTTTTTAGTTTAATAGCAGTACATACTTTTTTTTAAGTAGCTGTATATACCGGTTTTTAGTTAGTTGCAGTACATGCATACTTTAATAACAATATATATACTTTTTTTTAGTAGCAGTATATACTATTTTTAGTTAGTAGCACTATATACTGCATTGAAGATGTCCATTCTTCCTTTTTTTTAAGGTATACCTTTCTTATACCTTTATTGGTGAGCAACATTATATACCTTTTTTATTCGGTAGTAGTATATATTTTTTATTTAGCAGCAGTATGTACTTGTCATGGCACAACACAATAAAATTTTAAGGAAAGCAGTGGTATGATATATTGATTTTTTTAATGTAAACCACATACTGAAATAATAGACCGGTTGTATACCTAGTTATGAAATAGAATTGAAGTGGTATGTGCTATTTTTTTTTATAAGTAGTATATATACTACAATCCTCATCGGAGGAGTATATACCAATTTTTTTCAGTATATACTTTTTTAAAGTACATACTGTTTTTTAAGTTGGTAGCCATAACTAGATTTCATTACGTAAAGAATAGTATCAACTTTATTGTAGCTATAATTAATGTAACAAACGGGAAGCAACCCACTGAATTTTTGAAGCAATTTCTTGTTACCACATAAAATTAGTCGATCTCGTAGTAATACAGTAATCAACAACAGATTAAATAGAGTATAATTATGACGGTAATGGAGTAAAATTAAGAAGAGATAATGGCAAATCAGATCGATACACGCGCACATATATACCAATGACTATAATCTGAAACCAAATCACAACGAATGGAAAGGCGTGTAATGTTTCTACCAGACAAATACTGCTATTCGTTGGATGCATGTCTGCCGTGATCTTCAGTTGGAGGGGAACTTGCCGTTGCCGCTGCTGTAGGCAATGCTGTTATGTCTCCACTTGATGCCGTTGCCGTATGATTTCAGCGAGCCGATGGATCGCGTCGTCGCCTCAGGCTTGCCGATGGGTTGCGCCACGCTCGCATGGACCCTGATCGATCGCCGGTCGATGGATCGCAACGTGGTTGTGGATGTCCATCGCGATCGAGTCGACGGCGCCAGTGGACGTCGATCGAATCGCCGCCATCGACGCCGAGTTGTCGTTGGATTTCGCCGTCAGCTCCGGCTTGCTGATGGACTGCACCGTGGATGCCGAGTCGCCGATTGATCTCTCGCCATCGCCGCTGCCACCGAATCATCCGTAGATCACGGTCTCGCCAAGTACCCGATTTGTTGCGATTTGGTTTAGCACTACCGCATGGGAACGGGAGATTTATTCCAGCGTTCAACGTAATTCCGATTAGTGCGGGATAATTAAGGAATATGTTCTTTTTATAAAAATGAAAACTGGTGCGGTGGCCGGTGGGCGGATCCGGTAAAAGGCTCGATCATGCCTGGTTGATGATGGACGGTAGATGAGAGCAGTTGTATGTACATCCGGGTGTATATAATATTTTCATATATATAGGGATGCGCTAAACCGCGTCCAGGGTGCGCTATAACTAAACTACTCCCCTCACAGCACCCCCTCCCCCTACCCCCTGCCCCCCCTCCCAGTCTCCCCCCAAATCCATCCCGTACAAAATCCCCCATCCCTCCCTCTCCAAAAAAAATATTCATTAAGTAAATCAATTACTATCAACGGTTTTAGTTCGATTAGTAAACAAGTTACTATGGAAAGGTTCCCCACACCATCAATCCGGCAAAAAATAGCCCACACCTTTTTTTCTCTCATTTTTTTTCTTTCCTCCCGCACTTATTTCGGATTGGTCCATTAGTAACAAGATTACTGAGTCTATCAGCCTATGAGTAAATGTGTTGGCGGATGGCATGAGGCCCTTCGACCAAACCTGCCGAAACCCATGGCGAAGGCAATGGAGCAAGAACGGCGCAAGGCGAAGAGTCATACAAGCGCCAGGCCAGAGGCGTCTCAGGCGAAGGGTGCAAGGCGAAGACTATCTGCCGAAGGAGGACGACTTTGCCTTGACAAGTTTGCCCCCGCGAAGGCCGAGGAAGCCTTTCCGGCCCATCAAGCCTAGGGGCAATAGGGCCGACGATCGCCAGACGGCCCATCAGGGGCCCGTGAGCCCCTATATCATCATGTACCCCTGTAAATGTCCCTTTCGTAAGCGTAATCATGTAAATTCCCCTGTATAACCTAAACCCTAGTAGTAAGAGCCTGTAATAGGGTTATAAATAGCCCCCTAGGGCCAGGTAACGGGGGGATCCCAAGTGAAATTCAAAATTTAATACACTTCGTTTTTCCAACCACTGTTGAGTAACCACGTCTTTCGACGTATGCGGTTGTCATTTCGACAACAGCTAGCGCCGACCGTTGGGACCTCCGAGCGAAACCACTGAGAGCGAATGCCACCGAAGAGGGTCGTGAAGGAGAAGGTTGCCAGGCGGAGGGAGAGCGACGCCGGACTGGACATGGCTGCCGAGGAAGGAGCAGAGCCTTCGGCGCCCGTGGCCGAAGATGGAGGAGCACCAGCGCCATCACATCTGCCTTCGGCCCCTGCAACCTCTGTGGAAGTGCCGAACGCGACTGACGTGGCGAAGGCGACTGCGGCGGCAAGGGCACTCTAGACCACGGCGGAGATCCTTTCGACAAGTCAACCGGTGGTGCCCCAAGCCGCTCCATCGCAGTCGGCAGCGGCCCCAACTGCGCTCGCCATTGAACAGGCCCAAATCAGCCTTGACCCCGAAGCACAGGCCGAAGCCGACATGGAAGCCATGCGGCGGAACATGACACGGCTCCAAGACATGCTTCGCCAAATGCAAGAACAACAACAAGCATACGAGGCGGCAAGGCGGACCAAGGCCATGTCGGCTCCAATCCTTCAGTATTCGGCAGGCTATGTCCCACCTCAAGTCCATCCGCAAGTAACGGCCCAGCCCTTTCCGCCACAAGCTGCACAAGCGCCGGTGTACTTCGCCGGGCAGCATCAACCACCTGGCCAAGCGCCAAAATTAGTGGCGGAAGGGGCTTTGGCTCTGCAGGCGCAACTCCAAGCTTTCCTCCAGCAACTCAACCAACCCCACTGCATTTCAAGTACAACCCCATCGGCCCGCCCGGAGGGGAATACAAGTCAAGGTACGCTTAATTGGTTGCCACCGATTCAGCCGGGCCTGGGAGTTTCGCCGTGGAATCAAGGACCGTAGTTCGATTTTGTCAACGCCACTCAGGCGCCAACCGTTCGGCAGTAGGCTCCGACTCCAGGCTTCGGAGCAAACCAAGCACCAATTCAAGCTGCCATGACGTGGTCACAGCTAATTTTTGACTCGTCCATGGCGGCTCAGCAAGTACCACCAGTTGGAGCCGGGCAGCCGAACGCCATGGCCCAACCTCACGCACAAGCTGCGATTTCGCCCTTCACCACACCGTACCCGCAGCAAGGTGCGGTAAACAGGGCGGGAGGCAAAAAGGGGCTACCGCT